TTTTTAAATTTAAATAAAGCATGAATTCCCCAGGGAATAACCGAGTAGACAAAAAATATATAACGGTAGAAATGGCACATACATACATACATATATGTAAGAATGCCCACAGGCGACACACTATAGGCAAAACACGAGTTTTTTTCAAAGTCGTAGATCTTCGCTTAGAAAAGAGATAATGGGATGCAGCATTTAACCCTTTAATGCAGAGTCTGTCATATATGAAACGCTTTTTAACCCTTTCAAGGCAGAGGAAAAAGGTTCTTAATATGCTTTTCATAGATATTAATCGTAGAAAATTTTTCCATAGTAAAATAATAATAAAAAAAAAATAAATAAAAGAATAAAATAAAAAAATAAAAATATTAAAAATAAAAATAAATAAAAAGTGCGTTGAAAACGCATTGAGAACCATTTTGCCTCTGCCTTGAAAGGGCTAAAAAGCGTTTCAGATATGACAGACAGCTCTGACAAGCTTCACCGTAAATTAGGTGAATATCCGCATATTCATGCGACGTATACTCCATGTTCTCTGGCATAGTATTAATAACACAATGTTCGAAGGGTCCAGTTTCACAAAATCCACTTTCATTATTTCCGGTAAGTAACACAATATAATGTCAGGAGCAGTGGCGTAGCCAGAATTTGGCTTAGGGGGGGATGAAAAAAAATTTCCATCGATAACTTAAATCTGTGACACACAATGGCTAGAGGCGTCGCCTGAGTGCATTCTTTCATATGTTTATGTATGTACCAGTTTTACCGTTATATATTTTTTATCTACTCGTTTATTCCATTGGGTCTTCATGCTTTATTTAAATTTAAAAAATTTAATTATTATACCGTTTTAAAAATCTGAAAATTCACTGCGCGAAATTTTTTGATTCTCTTTTTGTCTTCGCCTTCTCATGTTTGCCTTTATAAGTTTTGAAAAAAGGTTTTGAACGAACCATTATATCACATTCCTAGGCAAGTTTTGAAAGAATATTTTCGATACTAAATTTTATTAAAACAAAATGTTGAAATCAGCTTCGTATAGAAACAGTGTCATCGTTAATTAAGAAAGAGTGTTCTTAAACATCATAACTATACGATACTCACATATTGACTCGATTTGACTATTTATTTTATTATATTTTAATTTGAATTATTTGTTTATAAAAATATAGTTTATTCCCTAACAAACACTAAATGAAAATAAGTTAAACTTTGAACAACATTAAAAAAATCTGAAAGTTTTCGTAAAAATTTCGAACTTTCTATTTCAATTTTATCTCTTAATATTTTGCAGTTTTTTACCTCATTCAATTTTAGTTTAATAAAGTGCAAATTTAAAGTAGCTCTGATTTACAGTTAATGTATGCCATATTTTTGACGATGTTGGTAATTTTCTTCCATATTATCTAAGTATGTTCCACGATTTTTTAATGA